ACACACACACACACACACACACACACACACACACACACACACACACACACATACAAACACACACACACACACACACACACACACATACAATGAAATGAAGACCTTCATAAAAGGGGACGGGGCGGTTGGCGGGCGCTCTGATGAGCTTCACTCCTCCTTTCCTATCAAACACCTATCACCTTTATCTCTCCTCCTTTTCTTTTCAAGTTACTCCCTAGTAACACCTCTAATCTTCGGCATTTATATGATCTATGTGTGTTGCAAATGCGGTGGAATCTATGACTAGATCTAATCTCTTACTCAAGCTTATTTTTTAAGAAACATGCAAAAACCGAGCCAGAACAAACCGGTCAACGAATTTTATTTTTGATTCCGCAGCACGGGCAGGATAGGGACAGCGCCGCTCTCATCTTGTCTATGATGGGCCTGTCCGATATAGTTGGTCGAATACTGTCCGGCTGGCTGTCAGATCGACCGGTACGTCTTTAATCGTCTTCTTGATACACGGCAACCTTAGAATTACAAAGTTCTATTTATCTCAGTACCTAGTTTTGAGAAATCATATGTCAAAGTGTTTGTGTTTCACATGTCAAGCATTATGGAATGCAATTCTTTGAATATTGATAGCGACTCCGAGTAATGTCACGATTTTGGTAGATTAGATGGAGCATAATTTTACTTCCTGACATTTCGGTCTCAGTAACTCAAAATGGCCAAAAATGCCAGAACTTCGTAATTTCAAGGTAGCGACATGTGTATATAGATAATATGTCTGGCTGCCTGGCTGCCTGGCTGTCTGGCTGACTGTATGCGCGACGCACGCGCGCACGTGTGTGTGTGTGTGTGTGTGTGTGTGTGTGTGTGTGTGTGTGTGTTTGTGTGCGTGCGCGCATGCGTGCGTGTGTGTGTATGTGTGTGCGTGGGTGAGTGGGTGAATTAGTGAGTGAGTAAATAAGTAATAGTAAGTTAGTAATAAGTAAAATCGATAAGAATGCATAAATCGACTGCACGATGTTAGACTCCGTCATACGCCATTTTAAAAAAATGTTGTTTGACAAGAGCTTTACACTGAGCAGTCAGCTTCTACGCGTGTTGTTTTATTTTATTTTAAGGAGGGGGGGGGGGGGTAGGTCTAATAAAGTTGTCGAAAACGTATTCAACAAACTAGCAAATAGACACACACACAAACAAAAAAAGCATACCTTTGGTCTTCAGTGGTGGCCCAGACGATACGGCTATGTGGCCTGTCTGGCTCTGAGTGGCCTCGTCAACGTCATGGTGCGGTTCATGACGTCATTTGGCTCATTGATGGCGTACGCCATCCTTTACGGCCTGTTCTCCGCCAATTTCTGGGCCCTCATCGCCGTCATGTTGACGGATGCGTTAGGTGAGTAGAACTATGGCTGATTAGAAGTTATGTTTGTTTGTCCTCTTGTGGGAAAGGTATGTAAATGGTGAGTGGATCTGGGGTTGATTAGAATTGGTTTTAAGTTTGTTCCATTTGTGTAAATGGTGAGTAGAGCTGGGGCTAATTAGAAATTGTATTACGTTTGTCCACTTGTGGAAAAGATGAGTATAGCTTGAACAAATTGTACGCTGTTTAAGTTTTTTTTCAATTTGTACAACTATAGAGATATGGAAGAAAGGTGAGTGTTGAAGAGGGAGAGAAAGAGGGGTAGAGAGGAAGAGGGAGAGAGAGAGGGAGATACAGAGACAGAAAGGGACCGAAGAGAACAAAAAAGAGAAGGAGGAAAAAAAAGAGAGGGAGAGCGAGAGAGAGAGAGAGAGAGAGAGAGAGAGAGAGAGAGAGAGAGAGAGAGAGAGAGAGAGAGGAGGGGGGAGAGGGGGAGTACAAACAGTCAATATTGTCCAAGACGGCCGACCCTTAACGTTCAGAAAAGGGAAGGGATTGTATTACAAGACAGAGGTGGACGTCTTGGGACAGTGTCATTATGATGGAAAAGACGCAACGGGAGAAATGGGGAGTTGTTTGTACAGGTATTTGTCTTTAAAGGTGTTCGTTAGAACAATTATGACTGTTTGCTTACCTCAAAGGAAGCAGACAGCAAATATTTGACGAAACAACGAAGTCTCTTTTGAAAGCTGAGTGTTTTCATCTCTTTGCCACTTGTACGGGTACCCTCATTCTAAAGTGCATATGCTTAACACACACACACACACACACACACACACACACACACACACACACACACACACACACACACACATATACACAAACACACATACACACACTCACAAACACACACACTAATGCCTCTGCATGTAGACACTAACAGTCAGGCTCAAACACTCACATACACAAAATATATATGTACACACACACGCACACACACGAGCACACAGCACACACACACACACACACACACACACACACACACACACACACACACACACACACACACTCGCGCGCACATATGCATATACCCTCTCTCTCTCCCCCTCTCTGTGCCTTCTCTCTCTCTCCCTCTCTCTCTCTCTCTCTCTCTCTCTCTCTCTCTCTCTCTCTCTCTCTTTTCCCTACAAACAATGACACCTTGTTCACTCTCTCACTCCCTCTCTCTCTCACCATTGTTATTTTAATGAGGTGGTTCTGTTTGTGTTAATTAAACCACTGTTGCACCCAATGCGTGTTGAAAGAGAGAGAGAGAGAGAGAGAGAGAGAGAGAGAGAGAGAGAGAGAGAGAGAGAGAGAGAGAGAGAGAGAGAGAGAGAGAGAGAGAGAGAGAGAGAGAGAGAGAGAGAGAGAGAGAGTCTGTGTGTGTGTGTGCTAAGCATATTAGAATGAGTGTATGTGTGAAAGAGAGGAAGACACTCAGCTTTCAAAAGAGATTTTGTTGTTTCGTCAACAGACAGACAGACAGACAGACAGACAGACAGACAGACAGACAGACAGACAGACAGACAGACGGGAGGGGGTTGAGGAAGGGAGTAATATGATCTCTAATCAAACTACGTTTTTGTGTTATCGTAAAGGACATGGATCACTTTCCTATATTTGATGCAACTTATTTTTATTTATTTATTTATTTTAATGTTTTATTGTTAACTTTTTAAATTACTACTACTGCTGCTGCTGCTGCTGCTGCTGCTGCTGCTGCTGCTGCTGCTACTACTACTACTACTACTACTACTACTACTACTACTTTCATTCTTATTATCTTCAAATTCCCACAGGCATAGAGAGACTGAGCAGTTCTTTTGGCCTTACTACGCTTGCAATGTCACCAGGATTCTTATCCAGTCCACCCTTATGTGGTAGGTAGCTTATTTCAAACTACAAAGGAAACTGTATAAGACTGCCACCCGTTGTCAAGTAGACATGTGGCCGTTTTGTACAGATGGACCTCTTACACGATGTCATTATTGTAAAGAACCACAAGGGATGGGGTGGGGTGGGGGGTGGGAAGGGGCCGTTGTTACAGATAAACGGAAGATGCCGTTTGTACAGGTGACAGGTGGCTGTTAGAGCAGGATCGAATGTTTTTATCAATTACTGATTCCACGAAAATATCTGCGATGTTCCTTCGGCAATCTGATTTCGCTAGTCATGATCATGGCTGTGCTCGAATACGCTTTAAAAAAGAATAAACCAAAGCAACAAAAAAAAACATGTTTTGAATCGTGTCAATGTGCCAGTAAAAGTGGGTACATGCCTGAGCATAGGCATGTTTTGAGTGTTAAGTTTTTAGGCTGTTAAGCCCGCAACCAAAAGGTAGTAGGTTCGGACCTCGTCAGGGCACGCCATTTTGTCCTTGAGAAAGGCAATCTGTATGATGAGTGAGTGTGTGTGTGTGTGTGTGTGTGTGTGTGTGTGTGT